CTGATCCCCTGCTGAAAGACAGCCTTACATTTAGTGAGTGCTCTGAACGAAGGTCTCACACGCACACAGATGTGGTAGAAGGCCTGGCTGTGTGTTTGTCGAGCAGAGGAAAATGCACTGCACCCGCACGGGAGAGATTGGCTGTTCACAGAACGCGCTGCAAATAAGAATCATCTTTTCTGTAGGGCGGAAGGGTGGCAGTACGATCCCTGAGGTGTGAGGGCTGACTCTCAGGCCCTGCAGGCACCCAGAAGAGGTTTGTCCCCGCACCTGACCGTACAGCTGAGGCAGAACCTCCGCAGTGGACTTCGGGCCACATTCTGCATACAGTCCATCTTCAGATCAGCTTCTCCTTTCTTGGGGTGCCGATGAAGACACCCAGTCCTTACCTGAGCCTATTCTTAGAAGCGCACAACAGAGAATTTTAGGAGAAATTGTGGAAAATTGAATGAAACCAAACAATGACATTGAGTCGTATGTATTTTACATGTTGTACATGTGTGCGTGTCTGTATTTGGGGCGCTTTTACATGCTGTCAGAACTGTCACGTGTCTGCTTTTCCCTGTGTCTTTTCGTGTGCATGTCTTTCATTTTTATCTCCTCTTCTCGGCACCTCACTGCCTGTTGGCTCTCTCTGTCTCTCCTCTCATCTGCCTCTTTTTACAAGCCATAAAATTAAACTAGAAGGATCTTTAAAATAAATTCTGCAACAGTTAACTCCGATTTCACATTCACTCTTATTAATTCAAACAGGAAGTACAGTATTTTATAGTTCCTCAAAAGAATCACACTTTGTTGATGAGATACACACACACACACACACACACACACACGCACACTCAAACACACTCAGTCCATCATTAGATCCCAAGGCAAACAGTTTGTCCATCCCCGGGGAACCAGAGGAAGCAAAAGGAAAGAGAGGGCAGGAGAGGCTTCACCCAGCACCGCACAGAGCTGGGAGGAGACACTCTTAGCCCTGCCCTTCCCAGCCTCCTCCTTCTCTCCTCCAGCTTCTCTGTGCTCTCCGCTTCCCCACCACGAGGATTTCATCTTCCTGGAGTGTACTTTTCAGAGGATTAAAACTGGTGTTTTAGCCAGATGTAATCCCAACACGCAGGAGGCTGAGGCAGGAGGATCACTGTGAGTTCAAGGTCAGCCTGGGCTACATAGTGAGACTCTGTCTCAAAAAAAAAACAAAAAGTCGGTACATGGACGTACCACGTCTTAATTCTTTCTTTGTCCCCTACCCCCCCACACCCCCCGCATCGCTCCCTGCTCCTTCCGTCTCTCGGCCCCCTTCCCATTTGAAAAGTTCTATTTCCACTTCTTTTCTTCTAGTTACTTTATTTCCATCCCTTTCTCTCCCTTCCCCTCTCTCCATCTCTTGAGCCCCTTCCCATTTGAAAAAGATTTCCCTGTATCCTATTATCTGTCTTTTATTTTGCTCTTTTTTATATATTGGGTTTCTTGTGTAAAATAAACCATGCAGTATTTAAGCCTGTGTGCCTGATTTACCTCACTTAACATTATGGTCTCAGGGTGCGTGCATTTTCCTACACATGACGGAGGTGTAGCCTTCTTCACGGCAGAGCAGTACTCCCTTGTGTGTAAATACCACATTTCTTATTTATGCATCTGTTGATGGGCATATAGGCCATTCCAGAATTTAGCTATCACGAATTACACTGCTATAAACACAGGTATGCATGGATCACTGTAATACAATGTCTTTAACTCTTCTTTTGCCCTTTTTCTTACATGGGCTGTCCTCAAGACTTAGCCTATACCCGGGTACCACTCTGACCTGCCTTGGGAGGGGACAGGGACTCAGAGCAGCACTGAGAAGTGACTGCCATGAGCTCTCTACCAAAAGTCACCTTGTGCAAGACCAGGACACCACAGCTGCTGTGGCTGCATCAAGGGCTCCAGCCCTCCAGATGTGCTCCTGGAGGCTGATGAGCTCATCGATGTGGAACTGCTTGTCCATCAGCAATAAAAGCATAACTGTCCTACCTCTTGTGTCAAAAAAATGACCTTCTTCATTTGATTTGGAACCAAATGCGAGACGATAATGCAAGATAATAACTCCACAGCAAGATAATGACTTATTTGAAATTATTCCCTCTGAAATTGTCTTGTATTTTCCATCCTAGCTATAATTTGGCTAATTGCTTAATAATTCTGTTTAAATGCCACCATTTCTGCAAACATCAATTCATTAGACCTACTTTTTCTTGCTGAAAATCCCTTTGCTTCCCTGAGTATCCACCATCTCTTTCTCCCATTTGTACCTTTGCCTGAGCGACACCCTGATGACAGAAATAGCATCTCTTCAAAAAGGCGATGAGCAGATCAAGGTGTCTCTCTGTGTTCCAGAGCCCGAGCAACATAATCTCTGTCCTTGAAACAGTACCTGTGATTGGAAAGATGTAACACTGCGTCTTTAAACAGCCAGCTTCCCCTGCCAGACAAATGAAGCCATGATCACCTGCGGCCTTAACCCCTCCCAGGCACGGGGCAGGCTGCAGCAACACAGTGGGAGGCTGCTGAGAAGGAAAAGCCCAGCTTGGAGCTCTGAGCTCCGAGCTCCGGGAACCTGCAGCCTGACTAGTGCTACCTGAGGGAATGCAGTCACATGTAAGAAAACCCAGGTCAAACCTTGCTCAAAGGAGGGTCTCCTGAGCACAGGTCGGTGTGAGCACAGACATTCACAAATCCCCCTCCATGAGACAATGCACCTGGCTCCAAGCTGAGCCTTGTGGCTCTGTCTGTTCAGGGGCAGTCGTCTCCCTGTCAGAGCAGCCTGTCCTCCCTGCCTGGCAAAGGGGACTTACTGACTCTGATGCCTTCCTCTCCAGTGTTCCCTCGTGCGGTCTGCCAGCTGAAATCCTCCAATGGTGACCTCATTTTTCATTTGAAACAAGGTTCCTGGCTCCCAGCGTTAAATAATCGGGTTTCCTCGTCCAAATGCTCATGTCCTGAAAAGAGCCAACACAAGTGTTCATGTCACTGAAAAAGAGACTAAAAAATGAGGACACTTGGGAAGGCCTAGATCTTCTATCCCGAAAATTTCCATGGGCCAGTAATCCCTGAGAAATCACCTAGATATAGGGCATGGTAGCATCGGGCACTCTGAGAGGCTGAGTCATGGTCGCTCCCAGCACTCTGGGAGGCTGAGTCAGGAGGACTGAAAGTTTCTTCCTAGCCTGGACAACTTAGTGACTTAGTGAAACTGCCTCAAAATTTAAAAAAAAAAAAAAAAAATGTGACCTAGGTTACAATAAAAAAAAGCAAGAAGAGGTCCGAATGAGAAGTAGGAAATGAGAGGCTATAGAATTAGAGTTAGATAATTATTGTGCAACAGACAGCAAAAACACCACACCACCACCTAGAATTTGGAGGCGGATTTATTTACATCACTGGGCACTGATTGGGATCATTCCCAGAATATCAGGCCCTGACCTCTGGTGGTCCGGGGCTTATATGGAATAAGCAAGCAGGCGGTACAGAGGCAGAATGGCTTGTCAGTTGGGGATTGGCTTATACAATGTGCATCACAGTGGCCAGCTGTTTCTAAGAGACAGGAGCAACAGGAGCTGGAACTGGAACTATTTCCTGGGCAACTAAGAAACTGAAGTATACTGGTGTGGGGGACATTTTCTGTTATAATCGAAGAAAAAGAAAGCGTCCATGGAAGAGATGGAGAAGATAACTCATTATCCACACATTTCTAGCTTTGTCTTTGAGACTCGAGCAGTGTCATGTGTATTTAAATAAGACCCATCGCAAGAGGCCCAACTATGTGTGCAAATGCATCACCAGATAGACAGAGCGGCATTCACGTTAAGGGAAAGTAAAGAACCCAGCTGGCTATGGTGGTGCCCACTATAATCCTCACATTCTGGGAGGCAAGTCCGAGCCCAGCCTGGGCAAATTAGTGACTTAGCAAGACCCTGACTCGAAATAAATAAAAGGTGGGGGATGTAGCTCAATGCAAAGATACTGGGTTCAATTCCCAGTATCACCAAAAAATAAAAATTAAAAAGAGCTAACTGGACACTGGTACTGCGCCAAAGATGGTGTCCAAAGGGACACTCACACCCACATCATCTGGGGCATTTCACTTGCAGGTTTCCCTCAAGCTGAGCGTCCTATTCTTTCTTGCTGGACCACCTGCCATGTGATGGCAAAGCTGATTAAGTGGCTCTGGGAAAGAGCAGAGAGAAGGCTGTCCTCCGACAGGACTTGACAGGCCAGTTGGTACCCAGCCCACCCCATCCTCAGACTAGCTCCTTTCCTCACCTTCCTGAGGCCTGTGTGGAAGGGAGGAGGAGACACAGGGTGAGGTCTGTCCCTCGGCCTGGCCTCCCACCTCGTTACCGGGCTGGGGTCCCAATTGATCTGCAGGTGTACAATTAAGTTTTACTTAACAGTTGTCAAAAGCTCTTCCAAACTACTTTGAAATCATCCAGAATCTAAGACGATGCCCTCCAAGAATTATGATACAGGGAGCTGTTGCCCTACCCATGCAACTTTGTCTTTTTTTCCTCTTACTGAATAGTTAAAGCTCTCTTTGGGTCCTTGGCTTTCTACACATTTTTATTCCTCTCCCCTGAGTAATACTGCTTGAAGAAGCCAAAGTAAAATAATAAAAATACCAACAATCATATCCAACACTTAGCTAATGCTGAGTCTTGCGCAGAGCTGATCTGAGCATTTCACGTATGATAACTCATACACTGCTCCTCAGAGCCTCAGGCGGTAAGTGTCGTTAGACCTATTTCACAGGTGAGCAAATGAGGCCACAGAAAGAGCCCCCAGCCCGCAAGGGGCAGATCCTGCTGTGACCCAGCCAGGCCAGGCTGGCTCCCACCCTGAAGCAGCCGGTGTCTGGCTGCGCCCCGTGAATGAACGGCGAGAATGATGTTTTTAACCTTTACATCCAAGTGTGACTCTGACTTATCTCTAACCCTTCTGTTTTTCCTTGCCACACTCAGACGACGGAAATGCTTAAGGCAACTAAGGTAGTGCGGGACCACACCATGTAAGTGCGCGTGGCTGCTGGCTGGGCCCTGTCTGCGCTTCGCCCCCTCCGCCCCGCATGCCTGCCCGCCCTCCCGGCTCGCTTCCGCTTTCCGCGCTTGGCGCTTGGGCCGCATGAACCATCTCTTCTCAGCCGTGGATCCTGTGCTCTTGCTCCTAATTTTATATCCGTGCTTCACGCTGTCCCTTGCACAGGGCTGAGAGCCCCGGCATGTGCGGCTGTCGGCCTAGCACCGCTGAGAAGGCGCTGGGGGCTCTGCAGGACGCGTTGGGTTGCTGCACTTTGACAGCAGGCCCACAACGCAGCGCTCAAAAGTGTGGGACCTGCTTCCGAGCCTCTCCATGAGGCCCTGGTCCTCCACCGGGTGCCTGGGTTGTGCCATGCTCTCCGGGGCGGTGGGCTTAAGTGGATTCTTGCTATCTTTCTCCATGGGAGGGGGCACCATGTGAACGTTGTACCAGGTAACAGGGCTCAAACGAGCCACGGAGAGAGGCGGTGGTCTAACTTATTTTCTCTCTGTATGTATTTTTATGGGAGATACACACATATGTGTGAGAAAACCCCACATTATGAAGGGGAAAGGGTAATGGCTGTTAAGCCGGTTATTGGCTAGATTGGCCTTCAGTGTATAAACACACACAATTCTTTCTGGTGTTCTGTGATTCTATCCAAACTGTGTTTCCATACGGAGTGACTTTAACAGTGATAAAGTAGATTTACAGAATTAACGACTTGGGGAGGAGGTATCTGCGGCGGGGTGTATACCTGGAAGATTTAAAATGCAGTCCTGGCTTGCCACACGGCCTTCCCCGACCTGGCCGTGACTTTACAAGTGGAGCTGCCTGGTGTTCTCAGCCCCACTGCAGTGTTGAGTGTATGTCTAATGAGAAGAGGGGGACATTTTCCACGTCCGTTGTCAGAGATGACAAGAATGTAGCCCTGAAGGGCCCCTGCTGAGAGGTGACTGAGTGCTGCCCAAGCCACTGGTTCGAAACTCGTAGAATTCCACAACTACAAAGTCTGGGCAGACAGATCCTTCGCTCCAAACCCTTAATTTATAGAAAATAGCAGAGGCCCTCGAGAGAGACAGTAACTTGGCCAAGATTCGATGCAGCCCGGTTTGAAACACAATCCTCCTTCTATCAAAGCATCGATGGGTGGTGTGTCCCAGCCCCTTTCTCTCCGGAAAGGAGAGACACCACCAGGAGAGATTTTTAGCAGTAAAGGAAGGGAAAGGTCTACGTCCACCCAGAGGGCAGACTCCAGGTCGTGGTCCTGGCACCGCCACTAACGCTGGGTGAGCATGGACTCCAGGGACTGTGGGCTCCTCGTTTGTGAGTGAGTTTCAAAATAGGTGACTTCAAAAAATGTACCAAGGTACCAAATTTTCTCGTTCACCTTGGGCTGTTTTCGCAGTTTCCTCCCACCAGTATTCGTTCGGCCCTGGGAAAGTGCAGAGATAGAGTCAGGCTGTGCCGGGGGAAAACCTGGAACGGTGAGAGCCTGCAAAGGAGACGGGCAGAAGGCCAGGGTGCAAGTGGGAAGGGTGCTTGGCCAGTGGACCTTGTCATCCGGGGGTGCTTGGCATGGACGCATCCCGCCCAGGTGATCGTGGCCAGCTCCAGGTCTGGCTGTCTCAGATACACTCATTTCTGTAGTTTGGTGTCCTCTGGTTTATTTCTACTTCTCCCCTTCTCAAGAGCCTACTGATCTACGTTCTGAATGAACAAGGTTGCATTTTGTCTTTCTCAGTGAATTGCTCACCAAGTCCACAAGGCCAAGGAAGGCTCTGAGGCAGTCAGAGAAGAATTTGAAAGCCAGTAATGCAGGAGGAGAAACATGTGCATCAGCTTTTGGCATAGTTTTGAGACACTGCCCCTGGTTTACATAAAGTGATGGTCATGGATATTCAGCAACTATGCCACACCACCTTCATGGAGCTTTCTTTTTCCTTGTTGGATGCATGAAGTCTTTATGATGAATCTTTTATAGCAAGTAAAGAATCATCTCTGGAGTTAGCTTTGGGGTCCACTTGAGCTTTTCTATATTCTGAATCAGGTTTAGTTTAAAACACAACTTTTCCAAAACACCCCATCTTACCTGTAGCCGCCTTCGCTGGATCTGACACTGACTGCAAGCTGGATGGAGGAGAAGGATGGGGATGTCGGGATGCGTGAGGACCATCCCGGACGTGGGTCGTTTCCTGTGTACTTCTCAGCTACCGATGCAGCTGAACAAAATATAGACCTTCAAGGAGGCAGGGACTCTGCAGTATTACCAGGACAGAATTCTGGCTGCAGAATTTTGGCAAACAAGGGGCTTAGGGGCAGCAAATCTGGTGGGGAATGGGCTGTGTCAGCAGACTCTTAAAGGTGCCTTTGCATAAGACTTCACTTAAAATTGGGAAAGACCAATAGACCCTGTCACCCGGAGGGGGCAGCTATTGAAGACTGTGGAAAGGGGCCTTGGGGCTCCTTTGCGACAACCTCCACGCCTGGTGCTTCCAGCCCTCCTCCCGTGGCAGCTGTGGTCCTATCTGAGGAGGAAAATGGCCTCCTTGTGTGGCCACATGAGACCAGTTAGTCACCCCACAGAGGATCCTGGGCAGACAGGTGGGGGAGGAACTTCTCCCCTTACCTCTCTCCGTGCCAACAACTCCCCTGAACAAACCAACAGGCTGGGGGTTGGTGCAGGGGATGACTATCCCCCAGCTGCTCCCAAGTCAGGTCTGCTCCCTGAAGGCCTGAGCGAACTGTTGTCCTGCTGAGACCTCTAGCGACCAAACTGGAGACTGCAAGTGTCCGAGGAAGACAGGAAGCCACCTTGTGGGAACCACCCCTGAACCAGAGCCAGGCCTGGCCACTCTCTGTGGAGGTCTCGGCCTGAAATTCTCTCCAGATGGAAAAACAGGAGCAGCTATGGCCTGAGATCCCTGAAGTATCAGCCAGAGGCTCTGGGTCCTGGCAATGTGAATGTGTCCAGCAGTCCTTTCAGGGAGAGTTTCTCTTTGGTTAGCTGTGGTGACCAGGACACAACCTGCTTTTTGCTTCCGGTTATTGCTGCTTAGTTCCAGTATCTCCTGGAAGCCCTCAATTTGGCCAACCTTTCATGTCTGTTCCTCGCTTCAGGAAGAGTTCCCAAAACAACGGACAGAGCCTGGTCACAGCAGCCTCACAGCCTCCCACGTGAGCCACCTGAAGGCCCTGGGGCTGGGCCTAGCTCCTGGAGGCAGGTGGCCCTGTACGGTGGCTCAGCCCTCCCCTCCACAGAAAAACAACCGACCCCCCCACCACCACCTCCGCACTCTGATGCAAAACTTCCCCACCGCAGGAAGTAGGTTATCTCTGATTGACAGGAGACTAAATTGGTTTAATTGTTCTAAACTAGCTCTCCAAATGTGGCCCCACATCAGCAGTAGCAGTGCCCAGGAGCTTGTCAGAAATGCAAATCCTGGGGCTCCAGAAGCAAACGCTCTGGGAAGGGGCTCGGGAATCCGTGTTTAGTAAGTCTTACAGCTGACTCTGAGGTCTCCTGAGTTTTGAGAACCGCTGCTCTAAACGCTGATTCTCAAATAGCAGTAGATATAAGACTACAACTCCCAGCTTACTTAAAATGTGCTTTCTGACTTTGCACCGCAGACTTGGTTGCTCTGCAGTGGGGTGTAGGAGACTGCATTTTAATCATCATTTTAGGTGATTCTAACGAGGAGGCTCCTCTGTTCTGACAAATCCTGCCCGAGCAGGAGCAGCACCATTTTGCTAGCAGGCTAGCATCTCTCTCGGGTGAGAGGTAGGTACTGTTCCCATCTCAGCAGTCATGGAAGTGATCTCAGTCTGTCAGCTTCTCCAGCCTTTGGATGGGACCATCCTGGTCCTTTGACAAATTAGTTTCTGTTGCCTCTACAAGGAAAATCTCAGTGGAGCCTGCATTATAATCCAAAACTGAACTATTTCTCCAGAAATATTTCCTATCACTGACAGCACAGGAAGCCTGTGGCTGGGAGTTGCCCAAATGTGAGACAGGTCTCGCTGTGAGTCTGATCTTCGGGCCGTGAGTTGTCTTTAGGCAGAGTCCATCAGACGGGAGTTGCCTTTTCTTCTCCTGTCTCAGACACTGAGAGCCCCAGTGATACTTTCCCAGCCAGATCCAAGAGGAGCAATTGTAAGGCCACCGGGAAAAACTGCTTTCCAATGCTTGAGGTCATAAGTACGTTGGAAAATTAAGTTCGTATTTGTGAAGAGCCTCGTGAATGCAGAGTTCCAACCCCTTCACTGCAGCTCTGGGTCTACTGGGAACTTCAGAAGAGCTTGGCCGTGGTTTCACTCCACCCCCAACACCCTCGCTCCACTGTCCCAGGGCACTCACACTTGCTGAGGCACTGATTTGCTGGGAGGTGCTCCAAGAGGCCTTGCATGCGGGATCGGTGGTACCCACGCTTCTTGTCACCTGCCATTAGGAGACTCACAAACTGCCCCGGAGCCAACACTGCAGAGAGATTATTTGTTGGGCGGGAGCTTCAAGTCATTCAAGTACAGCAGGCAAAAAACTGACTGTCTCTCTTCTTTTCTTGCCTTTCCCTTCCTCCCTTCCTTCCTTCCTTCTTTCCCTCGTCTTCTTTCCATCATCCTCCACTCCCTATTTTCCCATGCTCCGTTTCCCACCTTTCCACCTCTGTGACTTTCACCAGCTCTTTTCCTTCCCCTTCTCTGCTTTCTTCCTGCTGGATTTCCCACAATCCTGAGAACCAGGCAACACACACACACACACACACACACACACACACACACACATCTCTCTCTGTCTCTCTGTCTCTGTCTCTCTCTGTCTCTCTCTCTCTTTCTCTCTCTCCAGCTGCCTCATCTGCACTATGCTAAAGCCACATGAGTCCTGCCGGGAAGGGATGCCCACGCTCACTATAAAACACGATTCAAAGACAGATCTCCCCTCACTCAGGCAGAGGGAGAGGGAAGGAGAGCGAGAAAGGAGAAAAGCAGCACAGG